CCAAGTGGAGCTTATTTATTCTCATGAGGTTAGATTTGTATGTAGAACCATATTTAGCTTAGTGTAAATGTGGCTAGCCATGTTCCCAGACAACTGAAGAACCCAATGTTTGTTCTGAAGTTTGCTCTAAGTGGCTCACATTTGAGGTCCTGAGAAATCTAGTTACAGTATTTTAACTTTAATGAAAACTTCGCACTTATCCAAAGGTTTTACAAAATCCAAGCAAAGGCACGTTCTGGACACGCTGTAAAGTTCACGCATTGGCTGGTTGTGGTAAAGAATACCCACTGCAAAAACAGCCCACCAGATAAATTTGCACAAACAAGAGGCAAAAATTAGCTTTGCTTTCAATCTGGATGGACCTTCGTTATGTTGCCACTCAGACCGTCATTTCTCTTTAATTTTGGCTTAATGTTTAAGCTAATGCCGATTGATTTATGTTACTAATTGTTAAATTGAGCTTTGTTCCATTAACATTAACTTTTGTGACTAATGAAATGTCTTCATTTTGCTGGAGGCACGGATTAATTAATAATAACATAATTACAAACATACTTCCAGCAAACTCGCATACAAATAAATGGACAAACAAACAAATAATAAAATAATCATTGTTAAGGTTAATTTCAGTATAGTGCATCAATAAATAATGTGAGAGGCAACGCTTGACTCTTTTATTTTTTCATGTGAAGCATCTGTGCCCAAGATAGAATTTCTCCTCTGGGACAATAAGGTTTACCCTACTATGACAAACCGAATTCTCCCACCAAAATGTTCACCTTAATGCAAACATTGGGTGTAAACATGTTTGTAAAATTCATGAATGTATGTATGAATTATATAAAATGTGCATCCCCATCAGAGATTCATATAGTATCTGTTTAGCCCAAATGGAAAGGTCTGTGCGCATTTAGTAATAAATGAAATACATTCTTAAACAGTTACAAAAACTTTTCTAACTTCAATTTGCCAACAACAGTCAACACACAACACAGACGGAACAACGCTAGCTTGAAGCTAATATCCATGTACACTATGCATAGTAGAACCAAATGTTCTGAAGTGACAAAATTGAAAATGGCAGACTTTGCAGTCATCTTGGAACATGATGAACCACTCCACAATTCAATATTTACACCGCAGAATTTCCCACCTGCCTGACAGTATTATAAAAAACAAACAGCTCCTCCTGGCGAACAATTTAAATTACTGCATGATCACTGTTAAATGACACAAAATAAAACTGATCACTGTGATTTGAACCTTGACTGAAGTAAATGTGAATGAATAATCAATAATCAAATAATTGGAAGGGAACATCCCCAGCAGACACACATTGACATAGCAAGAGAATGAGAGAGATGGGGACGAGTGTGTGCATGCATTAATCCAAACTGCGACTAGAGATTTTTCAAAGGCTTACTGAGATCAAATGAACACACATGCATGCACTCACACGCAAGGTGTGTGACCTGGCTGCCCTTAATGTGAATCCCTCAACAAGCGCATGAATTACCAATGACCTATCTATATTCTTCTTCGCTCATGGCTTCTAATGGAACAACACGCACACCCGTCAAAGCATGGGCAGACGCTGCACTACTCTATTACTTCCTCCTCACACATATGTACACCTGACACACACCATTATCTCGAGTCTTTAAATACATAATGGGCATTTTAATTGCAAAGCCGGCGGGTTGGAGACAAAGAATTTACAGTGAAGAGCCTCTTCACCTTGCATTAGGCAGGACACAACTACAAGCAAACTAACCAAAAGCACTTAAACATATTGGTTCCATGGTGATGCTTTCATTATTAGTCTTTTGGAAACTATTTTTGCGTCTTTTTGCACAATAGGAATAAAACAGAACTGAGTATGAATGCGCTGAAAAATTACTTTGGCTCTGTGACAACACTGTGTCAGCTATATTTCTTAAGAAAACCTAAGAAGAAAAAATCCCCACTCACTCCCACAGTTCTTGTCAGCTTTTACAGAGGAGCAATAGAAATCATCCTGACTGGAAACATCACTAACTGGCATGGGATGTGCACGACCCAGGACCGGAGGGCTCTGCAGATGGTGATTAAAACTGCTCAGAAGATCATTGGTACCCATCTCCCGAGCATCAGTGATATCGATGAGGTGAGGTGCTGCAGAGCCCAAAGGATACTAAAGGACAGAACCCACCCAGCCACAGCCTGTTCACCCTGCTGCCTTCTGGGAAGAGATATAGAAGTTTCTGCTGCCGCACCACCGGACTACAGAGCAGCTTCTTCCCTCAGGCTGTGAGACTCCTAAATACACCCTCAACACTGCACCATGTGAAATAGTTTTACTTCTATGACTTGTTATTTATCCACCCATCTGCTGTATATCATTTTTTATAACATTTGCTTTTGTGAGTAGCATAAAGGGAAGTACAACTTGATTTCGTTAAAAGATTCTGTGTTGTAAAATGATAAATACATCTACATCTTCTCTCTCTTCTGTTTTAACATGACAATGCCCCTGTACACAAAGCCAGGTCCATAAAGAAAGGGTTTTCCCAGTTTGGAGTTTTCCTAGTTTGAGCTTTGTGACTGGCCTGCACAAAGCTCTGTTCTCAACCCCATCCAAAACCTTTGGGATGAACTGGAATGCTGAATCTCAGGCAGGCTTTATCACCCAAAATAAGTGACCACCCTAACTAATGCTCTACTACATACATTTACTCAAGTGCTGTACTTTCTATTTGAGATTGGTAATTTTATACTATACTTTATACTTCTACTCCACCACATTTCAGAGGGAAATATTCTATTCTTTAATTCACTACATTTATTTAAAGTTACCGGTTACTTTTCAAATTAAGAATTTACATTAAAATAAATAAATAAATAAATAAATAAATGCTTATGAAAAATGATACAGTGATATGCTATTAATCTAGTTATATATATCTGAAATTGGCTCCATAAAATAAAATGCTGTTTATATGTATAAGTGATGATAATATAACACAGAAACACAAGAAACCATTCTGCATAATGAGTACTTCTATAAAAGCTCCAATCTAGCAATTTGATTGGTTCATAGTAGTCATATAATGAGCGTATACAACGGGTATGACGTCGAATTCCTTTGCATAGATCCATATCACTCCGCGACAAACAGGGTTCGAGTTATAATCCGAGCTTCGTGGGGATCTCATGCCCCATTTACACCTGGTATTAAAATGCGATCTGATACAGATCTGATCGCATTTTACCAGCGGAGATAAATAAATAAATAATGAGAGAGAGACACACACACACAGAGAAATCATTGCTTATTACGTGATTCAACATTTCTCTCTCACACACACAAGAAAGCACACACACAGCAGTCCACTACTTGCCCCAGATGTCTGCATTATTGCAACAAAGTTTAAGTTTCAATGGCCTGTTCAAAAGACTATTGCTCAAAGAGAGACGCAATTCCGCCCTTTATGGTAGGTATAATATTAAAGTGTTATTATTTTACGCACTGTGCTGGCTGCCGTCACACAGTAGCAATCATATTATCATATAAGTTACCAAAGTCAATCTACTGATGCTGGACAGTTTTTTAGTGGCTGCACAACAAACGGCAACGTGCAAATCAATATAAATAAATAGTTCTAATAATTCTAGCCTTTGATGTATGTTGCTTAGCAAACGTCATGCGTTATGTAGCCTACCGCCAGCCTGGTGGAACTACTTTTTGTATCAGCGTATACCACAGCCTGTTGTGAGCTACTGCTTAATTCATTTTAAAACTTAGAGTAAATTTTTAGGATAATACTTCTGTACTTCTACTTCAGACAATGGTATTTCTACTTTAACTCCAAAGAATCAGAATATTTCTTCCACAATTGCTGAATGGGAGAAAATCCCTGCAGCCAGGTTCTAAAATCCTGTGGAAATCTTGGCGTGTGTACCCCTTTTAGAACAGTTCCTTGAACTATGGAGCCACAGGAACTAAACTCAGGGACTTAACTAGGATTTAAAAAAGGTTCCTTTTGCGCACTCCTGACTGCATTTCCATCACATCAGAAGAATTAAAGATTAGGCAAATTAGTCCAATGACAGTTAAAAAAAACGACGGTCATGATTGAACGACGGAGTCACACCATGTTTTATTGATGATTTAGAATGCAACCAAGATGAAACTATTATCAAATAAAGTGTTATTATACTCCTTCGCTAGCTGTGTCTGTCTCATGTTTGCTCAGGCTTAGAGTTTCTTCGTACACCTTCTCTCTCTCTTTACTCTCCTTAAAACTAGTTAGGAAGCAGACAGTATAACTTTGTTGTAAACATTAATAAACAGCTAGAAATAAATGTCTCTTTACTTGATGTTGATACTAGTGGTGCCCAATACATCCTATATTTTGAATGAAGCTGTACAGAAGTTTAGTAGCCAGAACTACATTTAGTTTATGCTTTTGCTGGTTGAAACGCAGGCAACAATAAGTTCCAGAGCTCCTTGGAAATGCACTATTAGCATATTAACACCCACGGTTTTGGAATGAGATGTTCAACTATTATAATGGATTATATGGATATAATATTTATTTAGTGTGAATGTAGTGCATTTTCCGTACATTTCGTGAGAAACATAATGGATACTTGTAGTACTACTTGAGTGAACTGTGAAAACAGATTCAGTAAATGACTTTCTCTAACTTATTAAACAAGACTATTGTTATCACTGTGAAAGAGACCAGAATAATATTAAAGTAGCCACAGCTTAGAAACCTGCTCAGATACTGTGTGTGTGTGTGTGTGTGTGTGTGTGTGTGTGTGTGTGTGTGTGTAAGACAGAATGAATAGTGGACACTGTTGTTGTCGCAGTGAGAGGATGTGTGCGTCTGATAACACCAAAATGATATGGTGGTTATCAAATAATGAGTTAGCTATTGTGTGATATGGGGTGCGTGTGTGTTTATGTACGTACTGTCGTTTACAGTGTGTGTGTGTGTGTGTGTGTGTCTTACCCTGGCCTGTGTGGAGCTCTCCTGCAGGTCCCAGAGTAGTGCGTGATTATCAGCCAATGAAATCACACGCTTGCCATCCCCCATGGGCTCCCACAACACGCTGTAAATACACAAAGGCATACACACAAAGTCACAGTCAATTAGAATACAGATGTTGGTCAAATAAGCATATAGGTTCATCAGCACATGCTGCAGACATGAGGGAAAGGAGCTTGTTTGGTTGGATTTCACATGACTGCTAAAGACAGCTAGCACCTTTTATACAATACCGCAACTAAAGTGATTTTGAACATCTGTACGTAATTAATCATGACTGAAAATCTTGGTAGCATAGTATGAAACTGAATTGATTAGTTTGGAACTGAAGTCCAATAAACCTGAAACTTGAACTAATTCTCACTGAAAATTCATCTCTTTCACTTTGACATTCAGTTCTCACTTTTCATTTTCAGGTCACTGAGACACACATCCCGTCTTTGAGGAAGGGCAATGGAGTGCAGATTCACAGAACTCCTTTTTGGTCACTCAGCATCTATGTTTTTGACCATTTCCTTCACTCTCTTTGATCCATGATCGTATGGATTGATACACATTAAAGAACATTTTTTTCGATCATGGATGAGGCTGGGACTGGACTGTCCCGACACAATGTACTGAAAAAGAGCACTTCACATGACTGAAACAAGTTTCGGAGCTCTTGTATCATCCACACATCTCTACCATCATCTGAGGAAGTGAAGACTCAATGGATTAACTTGTTTATGGAAATGTCCCCACAACAACTCAAAAATGTGTGCACTAACTAGGTCTGCACGATTTGGAGAAAAAGTCATATTGCGATTATTGTTGACAATATTGCAATTTGCTATTGCGATATAATACAACAAATGGTCCCATGAGTTGACTGGCTTGATTATCGAGGGAAATGCACAAAATTCTGACATTCTGAAATGTGTATTTCTCTACTTGAACAAAGTTAAATGAAGAAAAGAAGAAGAAAGAAGAAATACAGCTTTTTTGCCACCAGTACTAAAATTCTGATTTTGCCACACTGTAAATGGCTTTTCAAAGAAAACTCTACTGTGACTGGTGCATTACAGCTTGTGGCATGTGGGACTTTTTGGGAGTTTTTGAACCAGGGATGGATCCACGATATACCAGCAGCACCAATACAACCAACTAGGGCTGACCACGAATCGTCGAAGATTCCATGCTTCGATGGGCAGAGCCTTATTCGACTGTCAGTCTCACAGTCGAAGCTTCGCAGCAAATGAGGATCATGCCATTTTGGCGATATGGGGAAGCTCAACGTTTACATAGTTTTCTCTCAATAAGTGCCTATTACAATATACATTTCAACATATAATTCTGTAAATAAAAAATGAGAAAAGAAAAAAGCTTTTAATAAATGTTTTTAAAGTGCATGAATAAATCCAGAATTGTAACCCTTAACTTGTGTTCCAAGCGGGAAGCTTCCGGTCTACAATATGAAGCCAATGCGGAAGTCCCTGAAACCTGCATTCTATTGAAAATACCGCAGGGGGTTGCAAAAAGAAGTCCAGCTCCATTAGAAATAATGGGAAAATGACCCTACTTCTCAGCTGAATAATTAACCCAGAAGACAAAAGGATATTGATTTATTAAATTATGGTGCCATTTATTTTATAATAGACCACAAAGCAGAGTATGTTTCAGGGTGGGATTATCTTTGATTGACAAGTCGTTACCTGTCAGGCGACCTGTCAATCAGGCTAGAGCTGACTCATACCCTCGGCACTGTGTAAATTTAACCAGCACCGTTGAAAAAGCTTATTAGGAGTCGGCTGTTCACTTTCTCTGGTGAGTACATTTAGTTTTAAGACTGTTGTTCACTAGACAAAGTTATCAGCTCTGTTAAAATGATAGTTAACGTGAGTTAACAGCCCTACAACCGACGAAAGACTTTATATGAACAAGATTATTGAACAATATTTTTAACAATAATTTTAGTAAAACAGAACAGGGGGAACATGTTGCTCTCAGGATGAAGAGACTAGGAGTGCATAATGGCACACTAGCATCCTGGCTCTGGCTAAATCTACATCTGTCCATAGTAGAGGCTCTATCCACAACCTGGAGGAGGAATTTGTATAAATTACTGTATAAGTATAATAAAATAACATTAAATAAAAAGTATAATGTTCAGTTAATAGTATACTGTTAGTATAATGTTAATATATTGGTTACTATATTCAGTATGTTTTCATATAGGAGTGACTGTAGCTCAGGAGGTAGAGTGGTTTGCCCACTAATCGGAATATCTGCGCTTCAATCCCCGGCTCCTCCAGGCTCCATGTCGAAGTGTCCTTGGGCAAGACACTGAACCCCTAATTGCCCCCCATGGCTGCCCCCATCGGTGTACGAATGTCTGTGAATGGTAGTTCTGTTTGAGCACTAAGGCTCAGTGTATGAATGTGTGTGAATGGGTGAATGTGGTGCAACACCGCTTTGAGTGGTCGGAAGACTAGAAAGGCGCTATACAAATACAGAGCATTTGCATTTACATATAATACTAGACTATATTTTACCACTAGTTATATAAATCTAGAATATTAAATCCAGTTACAGCTGTTTCATTTCTGTGGGTTGTTTTTATTCATTAAATCCTTGTGCAACAAAAAGTCTCAGTCTCTAATTTGTTACACGTACTAATTTGTCACTAATCATATTGTTCAACATTTGAAAGTTTGCTGTGGTAGCCTACTTCAAACTGTTTTTATCGTCCCACCCCATCCAGGCTGTGATTGGTCGGTTGATGAAAAGTTACACTGACAAGCAGTTGGGCTTTACAAAAAGTTGAACATGTTGAACAACAAAGAGCACTTATACAGCCAACTTTTATTGGCTAGTTAGCTAAACCCAAACCTTCCTCATCCTCTCCCTGTTTTCTTCTGTCTTACCGCTTCAGCTGCCGATGACGCATCTCTGTCACAGAGCGAGCGGCCCACCGGCATTCCTCTCGGTGCTCCGATGGTGAGTCCAACTATGTTTTTAATGAATAACGGCGGGGCAGGGAGGGGGGTTGCGGTAGATACTTGTCTTTAACGTTACCCGCACACTGCTCATTAAATCATTTTTGTGGTTTGCAAGTATCTGTTTTAATGGGCACATGCTAGAGCCCACGTGTGGCCGTGGATAGCGCACACAGAGAAGAGAGCATCACACACACGGCACACTTTATTTGTTTAATTATATCGCACCCTTTTATGGTTATGTAATTGCACAGGATGACGTTGAAATTGCTATTAATAGTGCAGTCCTAGCGCTAACTATTTTACTTTTGCCTGCTTTTTTTTAAAGACGACTACTACAAAGAAGGATTCACTTCAAAACTCAAGCTCAAGGGTGGCTTACTACAGACTTCACACTTGGAACCTGTCATTTTTTTAATTAAATCATTAATCATTCCAAGATAGTGCTGTCTTTAACTGCCTCGGAGTTAGGTAGGCTTTGTTTTGTTTTCTTTTTGTGTGTTAACTCAGTTTTTGGCTGTGATTCCTGGAGCTCTTTCAGAACTCCAGCAGATTTATTTCCCACTTTTCTCGCATCATCAGTGGAAAGGGCTCTCTCCTTGTTGTTAGCCGAATGAAGCGGCGTAAGAGAGGGAAAAGAGCCAGGTCGCTCGTGTGCCTCCGCCGGCGGGGACTCTGCACACCGCTACCGGCAATATTTCTCTCCAACGTGCACTCCCTGTACAACAAATTGGGCGAACTTCAGCTACTGGTGGGGAAGAACAGACTTTTATTCATCTTCTGTTCTGTGCTTCATGGAGACGTGGCTGTGTGGATCAATACCGGACTCTGCGCTGCAGCTGGCAGGCTTCCAACTCTACAGAGCAGATCGGACACAGAGCTCTCCAGCAAAACAAAAGTTGGAGGTATCTGTTTTTACATTAACAATGGTTGGTGTACCGATGTGACAGTGATTCAGCAGCACTGTTCTCCTAATCTGGAATTTTAATCATAAACTGTAAACCGTTTTACTCCCCCTGTGAGTTTGCTTCATTCATTCTGGTTGGTCTTTACATTCCTCCCCAAGCCAACGTGCACGACGCACAGCGCATGCTGGCCGACCAGATATTGTGTGTGGGGCAGACAAACCTGGACTCCCTTGTTATTGTTCTTGGTGACTTTAACAAAAGAAACCTCTGCCAAGAACTCCCCAAATACAGACAGTTTATAAAGTGTCCAACCAGAGAGGGGAACACTTTGGATCACTGCTACACCACAGTTAGCAGTGCCTATCACGCTGTTACGCGCTCCACTGGGTCACTCTGATCATGTCATGGTCCACCTGATTCCTGCTTACAGAATTACACAAATACATTAAAACTCTGTAAACCTGTAGCGAGGATATCAAAGAAATGGACCAGTGAAGCTGTAGAGGATCTTCAGGCATGCTTGGACTGCACTGACTGGGATGTTTTCAGGACTGCTACCAACAATCTGGATGAGTTTACAGAGGCTGTGATGTCCTACACCAGCTTCTGTGAGGACAGCTGCATTCCAACACGCACCAGGGTGAGTTATAACAATGACAAACCCTGGTTCACAGCTAAACTCAGACAGCTGAGGTTGGAAAAGGAAGAGGCATTTAGGAGTGGACTGGGCCAGGTTTAAGGAGTTAAAGTACAGGTTTAGCAAGGTGGTGCGAGATGCCAAACAGTTGTACGCAGAGAGACTACAACACCAGTTCTCAAGTAATGACTTCTCTCTGGAGAGGATTCAGACAGATCACCAGCTACAAACCTAAATCCCCCCACTCCATGAACAACTCACGCCTTGCCAACGAGCTGAACCAGTTTTACTGTCGCTTTGAAAGACAATGGGACAGACCTGACACCATCCCCCGTTACACCACTGACCGGCCACAGTCCACCATCTCATCCCCCTCTCTTACCATCCTAGAGAGGGACGTCAACAGACTGTTCAGGAGGCAGAAACCCCGCAAAGCAGCTGGGCTGGACTCTGTCTCCCCATCCACCCTGAAGCACTGTGCTGATCAGCTGTTTCCTGTGTTCACAGACATTTTTAACATCTCACTGGAGTCATGCCATGCTCC